ATACATACAGGTAGAGGGATCACCTAGCCAGCTGTCTAGCCTCCCAGCTAGCTAGCTAGCTAGCTAGCTAGCTAGTTGGGGAGCTGACGAGCTAGCCGGCTAGCTAGCTAGCTAGCCGGCTAGCTAGCTAGCTAGCCGGCTAGCTAGCTAGCTAGCTAGCTAGCTAGTTGCGCCGGTCGGCTACTGGCTAGGCCGCCGGCCAGGTTGCTAACTAGCTAGTCACCTAGCTAGCTACTGGGCCAAAAAGCTAGCCAGCAAGCTAGGTAGCTAGCTGGCTAGCCAGCACGTTAGCCACAAAGCTAGCTAGCTAGCTAGCCAGCCAGCTAGCTAGCAAGCTAGCTAAAAAGCTAGCTAGCTAGCCAGCTAGCTAGCCAGCTAGCTAGCTCCAGCCTCGGGTGCCTTATCTTCCTCTGGAGGGGCCTCTTCAGTTGGCGGCTGCGAACAGTCCAAACGCACCGTTGGCCTTAATTGGGAACCCTAAACCCTAAACAACCCAAACCCTAAACCCTAAACCCTAAACCCTAAACCCTAAACCCTAGTTCTTGTGCTCGGCGAGTCCACTGGCTGGCTAGCTAGGCAGCTAGCTAACCTGTTCCTTCTTGCAGATGTAAATGTAATGCACATTGGATTTCTCCTCCACTTCAGCTGCAAACCACAAACCCTAAACCCTAAACCCTAAACCCTAAACCCTAAATCCCTTCAGCGAAAGCACACACCCGCAGGCTGCGAAGCCTAGCCCCTGAAAAGGAGGTTCCAAAGCCCACGCCTTGAATATCGCAAACCCTAAACACCAAACCCTAAACCCTAAACCCTAAACCCTAAACCCTCGCTACCTGGGGTATTTAGAGAGGGTTTTTCGAGGGTTTGGAGATCAACAGTCCACTCAAATTCTTTTCTTTGCAAATGGTTTAGACGGAACATAGGAGAGCCGTAAGAAATCATCATGTACACGCCCCCAGGCCTGCAAAACCCCAAACCCTAAACCCTAAACCATAAACCATAAACCCTAAACCCTAAACCCTACCTGAGCAGTAATCTAACTCGTGATGGGCTTCATGGCGCATTCTTACGAGCAGAGTTTAGGGCCTGGAGCATTTGACGTTTGCGAGGGTTTAGGGTTTTAGGGTTTGTGAGGGTTTAGGGTTTGCAAGGGTTAGGGTTTGCGAAGATTTAGGGTTTGCGAGGGTTTAGGGTTTACTTGAGGATCTGAGATATGAGGGTGAGGGCTTTGTTGACGTTTTCAAATGACTTCTCGCCGCACTGCAGCAGTAGCAGCAGCAGCAGCAGCAGAACCGCCACTATAAGGCATAGCAGCAGCAATGACAGCAGCACCAGTAGCAGCAACAGCAGCAAGACAGCCACCCCTCTGCGAAGGCTTGTCCTGCAGGCGTCCCTAGGGTTTAGGGTTTAGGGTTTAGGGTTTACTAGGATGCAGTCCAGAGTCCCCTTATCTATAACAAAGTCAAACCCTCGCCTCTCCAGCTGGTCCAGCTCCAGGACATTCAAAACAGTAACTGCAGCAGCAAAAGACACAAACAAGTTTGCTGCTGCTGCTGCTGCTGCTGCTGTTGCTGCTGCTGCAAACTTTAAACCCTAAACCCTAAATCCTAAACCGCGGGACTTGAACACACGCACAAACTCTCCACAATCGCTGACGCTGCCGCCGCTGCTGCGGCGGCCTCGCTGCTGCTGCTGCTGCTGCTACTGCTGCAGCAAGTACTAGAAAATGCGCCGCAGAAGCAGCACCGGGGCCTCCTCAGCAGCAGCAGCAACAGCAGCAAGAGCAACAAAAGCTTTCAATGCAGATGCAGCAGCAGCAGCAACAATCTGCACAAATACAGCCTGCCATTTCTACCTGCTATGCTGCAGCAGCAGCAGCAGCAAGAGCATCAGGAGCAGCAACAGCAACAGCAGAATCACAAAAAGCAGCCACAGAGTTATGAGCAGCAGCATCAGAAGCCGCTCCGCAGCAGCGACACCGCAGCGTCCACCGCAAGCAGCAGCAGCAGCAGCAGCCTCTGTAGCAGCAGCAGCGTCTGTTGCAGCAGCAGCATCAGCTCCTGGTGCTACAGCAGCAGCCCCAGCTCCCGTTGCAGCAGCAACAGAAGCAGCACCAGCTCCTGCTGCAGCAGCAACAGCCCCAGCTCCTGCTGCATCAGCAACAGCCCCAGCTCCTGCTGCAGCAGCAACAGCCCCAGCTCCTGCAGCAGCAGCAGCAGCAGCAGCAGCTCACAAGTCATGCCGGGTTTGTCTGCGCATCTTTGCTGCATGATGTTTATACACTGCGATGAGAAGTCGATGTTGGTGATGTTGCGGAAGCCGTCGTCCCACAGGCTTTCGCTCATTGCTGCAGCAGCAAAAACAAATTTAAATAAATAAATAAATAAATAAATAAATAAATAAATAAATAAATAAATAATTTAATTAATTAATTAATTAATTAATTAATTCTGTTTCATTTCTTTGGCGGGCTTGTGTGCGCGCGGGACCGGGGCCAGCAGCTGCTCTGGGTAAGCTAGCAGCAGCAGCAGCAGCAGCAACAGCTGCTGCTGCTGCTGCAGCCGTGGCCTAAAGCGTAGCTGCAACCGTAAACCGTAAACCCTAAACCCTAAACCCTAAACCCTCACTGGATGTGCCGCATCCGAGCATGAGGATTTCGTGGCTTTCTTCGAGGCCCGCGGAAAGAAGAAAGGGTTTAAGAGCTGCATATTTGTTAAACCAGTCGAAGGGTTCAGGGTCCCTGAGCCGCAAACCCTAAACCCTAAACCCTAAACCCTAGACCCTAAACCCAAAACCCTAAACCCTAAGCCCTGCCGCAAGCCCGCTCACTTCTTGTAGCGCTCCTCCCAGTGGTCCAAAGACGCGTACTGCACCGCAGCCGCAAACACCCAAACCCTAAACCCTAAACCCTAAACCCTAGGCTGAAAAACGAGCACTGGCTGCCTCGCAGGGATCGCAACGGGGACACTTAGTGCGGGAGGGTCTACGAATTAGGGTTTAGGGTTTAGGGTTTTGGGTTTTGAACCGGTCTTACTCTCGTCATTTTCAAGGCGCAAGTTGCAGCACGTAGGCGGCAAACCCTAAACCCTAAACCCTAAACCCTAAACCCTCAGCTCTTCACCTCAAAGCCACACCACCAGAAACAGGGCCAGGGGACTAGACCCTAAGCCCTAAACCCTAAACCCTAATCCCTGAGGGTCTGTTCGGGGGCACGCAGAAGAGGGTTAGTGGTGGTTTGCGGTGTACAGACACCTCAACTTCTCCGCCTGGAGTGTTCAACCCTAAACCCTAAACCCTAAACCCTAAACCCTAAACCCTAAAACCTACACGCGACTCCCTAGACCCTAATCCACAAGAAGAAAACACTAATTTGGTGTTTAATGTGGTTATTACTGAATAATAAATTAATTCGGCAAAGTCTAGCAGCGGCACCTAAACAGCCCAGCAGGGGCCCCCACGAAGCGCGAGCCCCTAAACCCTAAACCCTAAACCCTAAACCCTAAACCCTAGCCGACTAAATAGCCGCTTTGAGCTTATTTGAATATATTTTATTCTATTATTTTGCTTTTGCCTGCAGTGTGCACGTGAAGCGACCCAACTCGACTAGACACACAACCACAAACCCTAAACCCTAAACCCTCAACCCTAAACCCTGAACCCTTGTTTTCGGGCGGCGGCAATTTCCGCGTGCTCTCATGCCAGCTAACTTTTCCTTATTCGCTTACATGCTTTGAAACAAGTAAATAAATTAATTAATTCAATTTCGAGGACTCTCGTGGCTAGGGTTTAGGGTTTAGGGTTTAGGGTTTCAAGCTGGAGGGTGGCGGAAAAACGGCTCGGGGCAAGTGTCTAGGGTTTAGGGTTTAGGGTTTAGGGTTTACAGCTTGTCTGCTACTCTTCCGATTCTACGTGAAGCCGTTCAAGAGTGTCTAATCTCAATGTGCAGACAACAGACCCTAAACCCTAAACCCTAAACTCTAAGCTAGCCCCGTTGATGCAGCAGCAGCAGCAGCAGATAAGTTGAAGCAGTAGCAGCAGCTGAGTAGCACGAGGATCAGCAGCAGCAGCAGCAGCAGCAGCGACTGCAGCGGAGCCCTTTCGCTTGTGGCCACCCCAAAAGTTCCCACAACTAAACCCTAAACCCTAAACCCTAAACCCTAGTTGCGGCACACCTAATGTGGACTTTCTTTCCTGCGCATGCAACTACAGCTAGCTGCAGCTAACTAGCCGCGGCCAAGTAGCTGCAGCTAGCTAGCTGCAGCTAGCCAGCCCGTACATTCATCTAGCCACGGGCTGCAGCAGCTAGATACAGCTGGCCACAGCAGCTGCAGCAGCTAGCTACAGCTAGCCACAGCAGCTGCAGCAGCTAGCTCCAGCTAGCCCCAGCTAGCCACAGCAAGCCAAATGTTGCAGCAGCTGGCTACAGCTAGCTGCAGGTGGCTGCAGCTAGCTACAGCCAGCCACAACTAGCTGCGGGTAGTTACAGCTAGCCATAGCTAGCAGCGGATAGCTACAGGTAGCTGTAGCTAGCTGTAGCTAGCGGCGGGTACCTGCAGGTAGTTACAGCTAGCCATAGCTAGCAGCGGCTAGCTACAGCTAGCTACAGCCAGCCACAACTAGCTACAGCTAGCTAAAGATAGCTGCAGCTAGCTGCGGCCAGTCCAGCTGGAGCCAGCTAGCTATAGCTAGCTACTGCTAGCTACAACTAGCTACAGCTAGCTACAGCTAGCTACAGCTAGCTACAGCTAGCTACAGCTAGCTACAGCTAGCTACAGCTAGCTACAGCTAGCTACAGCTAGCTACAGCTAGCTGCGGCTAGCTACAGCTAGCTGTAGTCAGTTCTTTTTCTAGCAAAGTTAATCCGCAGCTAGTCCCGGAGGCTCCAGTGCTCGCCGCAGAATCCCTACTCTAGGGTTTGGGGTTTAGAGTTTAGAAATTAGGGTTTGGGGTTTGGGGTTTGCGTTTTTGCGTCAGGATGCAAGGTTTGAGTTATAAATACATCCATGAAAACCCCAAGCAGAAGGGTTCTGCAGCAGCAGCAGCTGCTGCTGCTGCTGCCAGGACTCATCGCATTCCTGCTGCTGCCGCTGCTGCTGCCAGGACTCATCGCATTCCTGCTGCTGCTGCTGCTG